CCCATTAGGTGTGAGAGGGAGCAGGCCAGGCCGGCCAGTCGGCAGAGCGGCAGGGGGAACCCCTGGGCGGAGGGGAACCACAGGTGCTTAGAGGGCCCCGTCTCTCTGTCCTCCTGATGGTCTCTTGTTGCCACTCCAGACTTTAGCAGCCTCAGGCTTCTCCATCCACCCCTCACCTCCTGCTTCTTCATGAAAATACAGGCCATCAGTTCACTGAGCAACTTCGTTGAAAGGTTCCTAGAAATACTGTGCACTAATCCATGGCAAGTAGAGTACTCAGGACGGGAGGTACCTGCCATGCTCCTCCACGGGCTTCCCGTCAGCAGCTCCTTGACTGCCGCAGCCCAGACAAGGCGAACACAAAACGCTCAGGATTTCCTCGAACTCTGGCCTAAAGCTTCCAAGAGGAATCACGTGAGAAGGGCGGGGCCAGGAACTGAAGGGGCGTGGGGGCCGCGCTTCCTTGACGGGTTCTTCTGCTTAGACTCACTGAAACCAAAAGGCAGTGAACTCTCCCTCCTTTCCCCCAGCCCAGAATTTTTAGGAGTTTCAAATGCCATGTCGATATCTGTTAGATTGTACAAATATCTTCAGGCATGAATCAACTAGTTATATCCATCAAGACACCATGGAATCTGGTGCAAAACGTTTGGCATTTGCTAGGACTTGATGAAAATAAAATCTGAAAACTGTCTCCATTCTAAACTGATATGATGTGGTTCCCTGTTTGCTTTATTCAAAATAATTGATCAGCAAAAGGATATACAGGGTTTACAAAGCTGCAAAAACTGAATCTATGAACCCCTGGAGGACACCAAGAAGACCTGTTTTGCAGCTGCCCGAGTATACCCTGGAGGCAATCCCTTCTCCATTTGCCCTGAAAGCAGATCTCACAGACACCTTCCCTTACAAATGGAAGAGATGAAAGCCTAATTTCCCAAATCTTAACGTGGGAAAAAAAAACTCAGAAGATTTCCAGTTTCCCTCTGGATTCACTGCCAGGCTAGAATGGAGGGCTGTTTCATATAGTGAAACACAGCTGTGGTGTGTAACAGCCTCAGAGAGACAAAGCAGGATTAATAACCTCCAAAGCCTTCTCAGCTTGTTTCTGCAAACTGTCTCAACATTTGCTTTAGGGTCTATGAAAAGGAATCACTTTTGGCACTGTCCAATTGAATGAATGCCTCTGGGATTCAGAAGCCCAAGAGGTTATGAATCAGAAATCTGCACAAACATGAAGTCAAAATCCTCACACACACTCATACACACACACACACTGTGGTATATCCATGTCCTAATCCCTGCAAATGTTACTTATGTGGCAAAAAATGGGGGATGGGAGTTCTTTGTAGATGTGATTAAGTATCTTAAAATGGAAAGATTATCCTGTATTACCTGAGTGGACCCTGAATGCAGTCACATGTATCTTTATAAGAGAAAGATAGAGATTTGACACACATAGAGAAAATGCTGTGAAGGTGGAAAAAAGAGATTTGAAGACGGGAGTGACATGGCCACATGCCAAGAAATGCCAGGAATCATAGGAAGGTAGATGAGGAGCACATCTTTGCCTGGGGTCTCCAGAGGAGCAGAGTCCTGGTGACACCTTAATTTTGGGCCCAGTAATACTAATTTCAGACTTGTGGGTTTCAGGACTGTGAAAATATAAATTTTATTAAGCCACCAAGTTTGTGGTAGCAGCCACTGGAAATGAATACATGTGTCAATATTCATTTTCCCTGCCTTCCTCCCTTACAGCAAAACACACAAAAGGAGCTCCTATGTGCTAGGGACTGTAAGGGGTGCAGAAGACAAGTTAGGCATAGGGCCTGGCCCTCAGCAACCTCACCTGCCTGTGGCATAGCTGAGTGGGCCACAGACACGCTGGAGCACGGGGTTTAACAAAGCCAAGTGTAAAGCATTATGTCCCAGAGGAGGACCGCACGAAAGTGTTCGTAGGGCAGGTAATGTTTCCACTCAGCCCTGAAGGGTGAAACTGGATCCAACAGACCGAGGCAGAAACTGGTCTAAGCCAAGGACACAGAATAATGTGGGACAGTGACCACTAAAAGTGAGGCGTGCTGGGAATCAGTGAGTGGTCAGGGAGGGGGACAGGCTGGGAGAGTGGACTAGAAAGAAGGTGATGCCAGACCACAGAGATGCCTGAATGACAGGCCCAAGGTCTGCTCTGCTATGAGGGGGGCCCTCTTTGCTGTAGGCCAATGCTGGGGGCAGTTTAGCAAAGATCATGGGTGCAGGCCAGCAATGCCCTGTGACGCCATTCAAGAAACAGATTTGTAGATTACGCTGGAAACAGTTCAAAATATGTGACACTCGTTTGGCTATTAAGGAACAGAACTAAGGATTGTGTCTGCTGAGTGGGGAGTCCCAGCACAGACAGTGGGTCTGGCACTGAGTATGGGAAGGGTACGGTGTATGAGAAGAGAAAGCAAGAAAAGAAAGGAGAGAGGGAGAGAACGAGGAAGATGTGGGGCTCTCCTGCCAAAATGCTTGGGCTCCTCCCTCCACACTGTGCCCTCTCACTCTATGCCATGGGACAGTCTCAGGGGACCATGCCACCAGGCCACCCTGTGGTAGAACATGTCTACCCACTGTCAGCACATTTGGTAAGGCTGTGCCCTTGCTCAGGCCTGTGACTCCTGCTGCCCACTAATGGGCAAGGGGTTGCCATCAGTTCCCGCTGGGGGCTCTGCCAGGCCTGTGGCCATTTGTATCTTGAGCTTGGTAACTAAGGGCAGGAGGAATCGTGGGGGCTGGAAGGTAGGCTCTGTTTGGATAAACTCAGGAAAGCTCAACTGCTTCTCTGAATGCAGCCTCTGGGGTTTGCTGTGGAGAGCCAGCAGGGTGGCCTCCGCTTCACCTGCCAACATGCCCTCAGGACAGGGTCTAGGCAGCGCCTGCCCCTCTGCCTTCACTGAGGGGCTTGTGTTGATAGAATGAGAGTGCACAGAGGCAGCACAGTACAGAAGAGGGAGTGCTAAAGTGAGGAGCAAAAATCCAGATTCAAATCTTCCCACACACAAGCTGTGTAGGGCAAAATCACTAACTGCTCTGAGTCTCAGCTTCCCCCTTTTGGAAAATGGGGATTACACTCTGGACTTAGCCCACCTGACAGGGCTGAAGCATCACAGGGCTCCTGGGAAAGCCCTTTGCATTCTATGAAGTGCTACATAAGTGTGAGGGGCCAGTAATGGATGACTTGGGAACATCTACTGAGGCTGCCCTAACTTGCTAACAGCTGGGGAATAAGTCAGGGGAAGGACAGTGTGTGTCCCACCTCTGCCTTGTGCACAGTATTTCCTATCCTCTGCCTGGACCCACCCTTGCAACAGAAAAATCAAAGGTTTTGCAGGAGTGAACCTGGCAGGCCTCCCCCGTATGTACACACAGAGCCCATTTCCCGTATGTCTCATATTTAAAAGTCATAAATCAAGCTAACAAACCGTTAAATGAAATATGCTCTATCCTCCTATCTTGTTAAATACATCTTCGTAACAACCTGGAGGACCAGGAATGAATTTAGCATTCTGGGACTCGGCATCTGTGCCAGGACCTAGCCGTGTGGGGAAAGCCTTCCTGGGCTATCATCTGCCTTTCTCCTCTCCCACTCTCAGCTCCTCTCACTGTCTTGTGGGGCCTCAAACACAAGTGTGGACACCCAGCCCTCACATCCATGCTCTGTTCACAGCCCCCAAAGAAAGCCAGTCCTTGGGCTCTGGGGCACACATCCCCCCTGACACAGGCTGGGGAAGAAGTTGAAAGAAGTGTGGGGCTATTTGGACAGGACCCCTATAGCGGGCTAGAAGGAGGGATGTAATCACCAGGGGCAGGTCCCTTTGGCCCTGCAGTCTCCCCCTGGTCCATGGCGGGAGGGTGGGAGAGCTGGCCCTCCGCAGGGCCAGAATGGGTGCCTGTTGCCTAGGTCTAAGGGTGGTTCACTCTAGTTCACAGCTTCTAGTCATGGCTCTGTGTCCTCCTTGCTAGGTGACTGAGGAACATCCCAGCCCCCTCCGGACTCAATTTCCTCACCAAAAGCAGGTGAATGACCATCTGTCCCCTTCTCAGAGCTGTCGTGAGGTTCCCAAGAAAAAGCCATCTGGGTGGGAAGGGGGTGGCATAACCAACCTGGCTTTTGCAAATGCACTGAGACGATCAACAGTGTTTGCTAGGAGAGGAGCAGGCCTATAGAGCCCCAGCACTGAATGAGTGGCATGGTCCTTGTAAATGGCTCAAACAAGAGCCAACACTAACCCTCAAAAGAAGTGTAACAACATCCGACTGAGTCCTGATTTTCCCCCTGATTTTTTTTAAAGCATTTTTCAAAAAACACTGCTCTGGGTATCCCTGCTATGCTCATGCCCTTGGTTCATAACCAGCCAGCACCATGGTGGCGGTGTCTAGTCCCCACCATGGAGGAGATGGGGTGGCCTCCTTTCCAAAGGTCTTGGAAGAAACTGACATGTTGTGGGCCACAGGGGACCAGGTCTCAATGGATACAGGCTGTCCGGCTTAGAATCAGGTGACAGACCCACCAGCCAGCATCCTGTCCACGGCACATGGTCCTTGACCCCAGGGAGCACAGCTGCCCAGGGCACAGGGGCTTTCTGGTGCTCATGTTGCACAGACTGGGTGGGAGGATAGAGGATGGAGAAGAGCCCCCACTCCCTACTGGCTGGGGCAACCTTCGGCCAGGTCCTGCACCCTCTGTGTTCAGAATCCCCGTGTGGGCAACAAGGGGCTATTTAAGCAATAGTCAAGGGTCCCCCTGTCTCTGATGTCCTCCCAGGTGCCACCTCGGGCTGGTCCCAGCCCCACTGCAGGCCTAGTTGCAGAGAAAGAGGCCGAGAGTGCAGACTTCTGCCTGCTTTATTCAGGTGCTCTTTTCAGAAGCTTAGAGGTCACCCAGGCAGTTTGGGGGGAATGCCCCCCTGAAACCCCGTCGACTGCCTGCTGCGGAGACGCCGACAGAGCAAACTCACCAGGCACCATCCCTGTCAGCGTCGGAGCTGAGTAGCTGCCCTGTCCGGTGGGGGGGACGTGCGGAGGGTACCCGGGGAGGGTCGTGCTCGCCAAGTCACGGCCTGAGGAATCAAAGCAACAAATCACGGGGTGAGTGTCTCCGTAGCCAGCCGCTCATGTCCACAGCTCCCTGGACATCTGCACATTTGTCACGTCCTGACGCTGCACACAACGTGCCCCAGCTGTCACCATGGCTCTCGATCGTGCACACACACACACACACGCACACACACCTCCAGCCGCCCTGGCTTCACTGCGCAGGAACCGGGGACAGTGCTGATACATCCCTGGGAACCTGGCGCTTTGGCCAGCTCTCTGCTCCCCATGCAGGACTTGGACTTCCTCCTGTCCATACCTTTGCTCCTAAGCTGTGCTCTCTGCACAAAGCACCCTCTCCTCCAGCTGCACACAGCCCAGTACCATGCGCTTTCCACTGCCAGTTCAAACAACTTTCTCCTCCTCAGACCCTTACAGCTCCACATCTGGTCCTTATTAAATTCTCCTTTGGCCTAGAGCTAGTCATTCATTCAACAAAGGTGCAAGAAGCACCTCCTGATCCCAGACACTTTTCTGGGCACTGGGACATGGAGGCTAAGGCCTCTGCCATCAGGGGTAGACACTCCAGTGAGTGCCTGTCTACCTCTGTGCAGGGTGCCAGCTCCTGGAGGACACCTTATTCATCCACCACAGGGCATGGCACCTAACAGGCTCAGTGAATAAATGTGGGAACAAAAGGAGCATCCAGGTGCCCTGGGTCCCAGGCCGTGTGGAAGAGACCCCCAGGGAGCAGAACTCTGTAAGGGAGGTGCCACTGGGGTTTGTGCCTCTTAGGTAAAAATCAGGGCTACATCCCTTCCAAACAGTGACAGTTACATGTATGTAACAAGGTGCTCGTGGTTAAAACCAATAGCCCAGATCTTGGGAGATCAGACTGCCCTGTGATTATCTGTTGGTTGGGTCCTGAGGACGAGACCCACCCTGGGAGGTGCGATTGGCAATTGCTCCTGAAAGAAAGGGATACATCCTTTCCAGCCCTGTGAAATGAGGTGCTCCCTTAGGATGAGGGAGTGAAGACAGAACTCTGACCTCTTCTGGATGTGGACACTGAGGACTGGGGAGGTCAAAAAGAGGTCCAGGGGCATGGGGGAGTATGCCTGACCACACAGGCCCAGGCCCTGGGAGCCTCCCTTAGGCCCAGTGGGGTGGTGCAGTCAGAACACAAGATGACTCTGAGTTCAGCCCCCTAGAAGGTGGCCCAAGAAGGACCATCTCTGACCACCTCCCCCAAAGAATGCAAGCCAGCACATGGTATGAGCCTTTGAATGTTCCCCAAATGAACGAACAGCCCATCTAGCGCCACTCATTCAAAGACTATCCAGCCAGCACCCACAGGCCACCTCATTTCACAGGGTTCTGCTTGCCTTCCAGAACTTTACGGAACACCAGGCAGCTGCGGGAGACTCCCCCTCCTGCTCACCACCTCTCTGGCTTGGGATTGGGCATCCTAGCTTGTGACAAGCGTGGCTTGTGTCCCTTCATGTGCATTATGGTTAAGGGGAGCAAATACCCCAGGATTTACCTCTGGGAGACCTCAATCCCCCACATGAGCTGCATATAACTCCCCGTGAAGGCCGAGATTAAACAGAAGACTGGAGTTGGCAGAACTGACTACTTATTTTTTTATTTTTTATTTTTTATTTTTTTGAGAGGGCATCTCTCATATTTATTGATCAAATGGTTGTTAACAACAATAAAATTCTGTATAGGGGGGTCAATGCACAATCATTAATCCATCTCAAGACTAATTCTTGTCAGTCTCCAATCTTCTGAAGCATAACGAACAAGTTCTTACATGGTGAACGAATTCTTACATACTGAGTAAGTTCTAACATGCTGAACAGTACAAGGGCAGTCATCACAGAAACTTTCGGTTTTGATCACGCATTATGAATTATAAACAATCAGGTCAGATATGAATATTCGTTTGATTTTTATACTTGATTTATATGTGGATCCCACATTTCTCCCTTTATTATTATTATTATTTCTATTTTTAATAAAATGCTGAAGTGGTAGGTAGATGCAAGATAAAGGTAGAAAACATAGTTTAGTGCTGTAAGAAAGCAAATGTAGATGATCAGGTGTGTGCCTGTAGACTAAGTGTTAATCCAAGCTAGACAAGGGCAATAAAACATCCACGGATGCAGAAGATTTCTCTCAAAACAGGGGGGGTGAGGTTCTAAGCCTCACCTCTGTTGATCCCCAATTTCTCACCTGATGGCCCCCCTGCGACTGTGCCTGTCTTAGGTTGTTCCTCCCTTGAGGAATCTTACCCGTCTCTGGCTAACCAGTCATCTTCCGGGGCCATACAGGGAAATGTAAAGTTGGTAAGTGAGAGAGAAGCCATATTGTTTGCAAAGGTTAGCTTTTTACTTCTTTGCAGATTTATGCCCTGTGGCTTCTATGCCCAGCACTTGTCTCGAGGTATCTTTACCACCTGGAGGAATTATGATACTCGGTAAATTCGATATGAGGCACGAATTCTATTTAAGGGTTGTAATTAGGAAGGAAGAAGAAAAGCTATAGATGTAGCATATGAAGGAAACTTGGGAGGATTGATTATTTCTTTGACATATCTTCTTGTATAGTACCTTAAGTATGTATAGGTTTTAAACTACTAACTAATTTGCACACACATATTAACATAATAGGAATACGGTGACATAAACAAAGCAAATCTATAATTACCATCCATCTCCAGTGAAGCCAAGAAAACCATTTAGGCACCCTAGGCATTTGTGAAAATTTATCTATGATATGATGGATATTGTCCAACTGTACTTGAACCATCAGACAAATTAAAGCAGCCCATTTCTGGGATCTGTTCACATCCCATATGTTCTTTTAACCATAGATAGTCTATAGTCATGAGATTTTGGAGTGCTACAACTTGCACCCCTCCCAACTCCTGGTTGAGTTCCAACAGTACAGATCCGGTCAAATTCGTTGTCTCACTGTATGCACATGCCAGCCTAGACATCTCCCTCCTCATTCTTATGGCAAGTCCAGGAGACGGTGGGCTGGATGCAGCCACAACCGCAGCATCGTCCGGATCCCTGTGGAGGCTTTTTGATGATCATCCCCCGGCACGAGTCCTCCAGAGAGTGCTGATGCCGGAAGCTCCTCCTCATATCGTATCTTAGTTCATTTTCTGGGTATCCAAGCTAGGCCTTGATCTTCTGCGTAGAAACAAACAGACCCTTTGCCCACACTTTGACATGCCCTCTATACCACTGTGCAGAACTCATTGGAGGTCAGCACACAGTAACTGCTTTTTTTTTTTTTTTTTAATTAAGAGAAAGGAATATTATCAGAAAAGAGTACCTCCATAGCTGATCATCTGACACCCTTTAAGTGATCAACATTAAGGATATTTAAAGCATGCGTTGATCTTTGATTTACCAATAGTTTTATCCTGTTAAGGAGTAATCCCCCTTTTCTTTCTTTCTTTCTTTTTTTTTTTTAAATTTTTAATCTACACTTACCTGAAGAATACTATGTTTACTATGCTCTCCCCTATATCAGGTCCCCCCTAACAACCACATTACGGTTACTGTCCATCAGCTTAGCAAAATGTTGTAGAGTCACTACTTGTCCTCTCTGTGTTGTGCAGCCCACCCTCCCCTTTCTCCCTCCCCCCCATGCATGCTAATCTTAATACCCCCCTTCTTCTTCCCCCCCCTTATCCCTCCCTGCCCACCCATCCTCCCCAGTTCCTTTCCCTTTGGTACCTGTTAGTCCATTTTTGGGTTCTGTAATTCTGCTGCTGTTTTGTTCCTTCAGTTTTTCCTTTGTTCCTATACTCCTCAGATGAGTGAAATCATTTGGTATTTCTCTTTCTCCGCTTGGCTTATTTCACTGAGCATAATACTCTCCAGCTCCATCCATGTTGCTGCAAATGGTTGGATTTTTCCACTTCTTATGGCTGAGTAGTATTCCATTGTGTATATGTACCACATCTTCTTTATCCATTCATCTACAGATGGACATTTAGGTTGCTTCCAATTCTTGGCTATTGTAAATAGTGCTGCGATAAACATAGGAGTGCATCTGTCTTTCTCAAACTTGATTGCTGCGTTCTTAGGGTAAATTCCTAGGAGTGGAATTCCTGGGTCAAATGGTAGGTCTGTTTTGAGCATTTTGATGCACCTCCATACTGCTTTCCACAATGGTTGAACTAATTTACATTCCCACCAGCAGTGTAGGAGGGTTCCCCTTTCTCCACAGCCTCGCCAACATTTGTTGTTGTTTGTCTTTTGGATGGCAGCTATCCTTACTGGTGTGAGGTGATACCTCATTGTAGTTTTAATTTGCATTTCTCTGATAATTAGCGATGTGGAGCATCTTTTCATGTGTCTCTTGGCCATCTGTATTTCTTTTTTGGAGAACTGTCTGTTCAGTTCCTCTGCCCATTTTTTAATTGGGTTATTTGTTTTTTGTTTGTTGAGGCGTGTGAGCTCTTTATATATTCTGGACGTCAAGCCTTTATCAGATCTGTCATTTTCAAATATATTCTCCCATACTGTAGGGTTCCTTTTTGTTCTATTGATGGTGTCTTTCGCTGTACAGAAGCTTTTCAGCTTAATGTAGTCCCACTTGCTCATTTTTGCTGTTGTTTTCCTTGCCCGGGGAGATATGTTCAAGAAGAGATCACTCATGTTTATGTCTAAGAGGTTTTTGCCTATGTTTTTTTCCAAGAGTTTAATGGTTTCGTGACTTACATTCAGGTCTTTGATCCATTTTGAGTTTACCTTTGTATATGGGGTTAGACAATGGTCCAGTTTCATTCTCCTACATGTAGCTGTCCAGTTTTGCCAGCACCATCTGTTGAAGAGACTGTCATTTTGCCATTGTATGTCCATGGCTCCTTTATCAAATATTAATTGACCATATATGTTTGGGTTAATTTCTGGGGTCTCTAATCTGTTCCACTGGTCTGTGGCTCTGTTCTTGTGCCAGTACCAAATTGTCTTGATTACTATGGCTTTGTAGTAGAGCTTGA